GAAATAAAAATAAGTAAATAAATAAATACAAAAAGAAAACTAAACAAATAGAAACAATACAAATTGGAACAAAACTTAGAATACCTCAAAAACAATGCTAATGTATTTGTTGATGTGATTGTTTTTTCGACAAAGATAACAACTTGTTGTTCACTACTTTTCACCCTCGTTTCCACATGTCTTCCAAATATAAAAAAAAAAGCAGAAACTTCAGTCTTTTTTTCTGTTCAACTATTATTAGCAGTATTATTTCGCGATATGTAAAGCGCAGAAGATAACAGCGTAAAATTTTTTTTTTCTCAGAAAAAGGAGAAGAAAAGAAAAAAAGATGGAAAGAAAGAAGCGAAATTTTTTTTTGTCTTTACAATTATTAACTGGTGTTTTATTAGCTTTTTATTATGGTACAGATATTGAATTTTGGAAAGTGTTTAATATGTTAAATACATTTCTTTTTTTTTTTCACTTAATTTTTTTTTCCAAAAAAAGTAATATTAGTCAATTTGAAAAAGACCAAATGTTCTATTTTTTTTTGTTCATTGCTATTAATAGATTTGTTATGCATCTCATATCAGATATGTATCCTTTGTTCATACTAATTTTCTTACTATTTCAGTTTAATAAACTAAGCAAAATTTGCTTTTTTTTTCTTACTGTCTTTCTTCAACTTTGCTTTTTTTTACTTGAAAAAAACACTTTTAAAACAAAATATTTTAAATGTTTTTTAGCTGTAAACTAATATCTGATAGTTTTGCCTTGGAAAAAAAAAAAACTTTATAATATTTGGATATTGAAGCGTTTACATATTATATAAAATTCGCTTGACTACAGTTTTCTTAGAAACATATGCACTAAAACAGTATCATTAATGAAATAATAACAAACCAAAAAAAGGAAAAATGTGAAATTTCTTGAAAAGAAGAAAAAAATTTTCTTGCAATTTTCTCTCTCTTCTTCTTCTTCAAAAAAAACGAACATTTAAGTAATAAAATTAAAATGCAAAGATACAGAGTAACGATAATATTGAAAATACTTACAGTGCTTTATGCAACAATATAACAAATTTGTTTACTTTTTTTTTTCATTTCATCGTTTCTGTGTCACATTTCTGTGCGTTGATAAACAAAATTAATAAACAAAAAAATAGAAAAAAAAAGGTTTATTAAACAGTAAAAAAAATCAAACTTTGTAAGACAGTTAAAACCACAAACAGTTTTTACCAGTGTTCTCTTTTTAAAAATACATTTTGGATGACAGATTACATTATCTGTGACACGTTTA